ATCTAATAATTTAATAATATTTTTCAATTTTATTTAACCAATTCAGTATTTGTTCTATGCTCTGAATGCCAAATAATATAATAATATAAAACAAATCTCATTTTCAGGACAGAGTTTACATGAAGCAGGTTATGACCACTGGGCACCGAACGAACCGAACGAACCGAACAACGTGGCTAATCGCGAGATGTGTGGCGCCCTCGACAGGAACAATAACGGCTTAAACGATTGGCCCTGCGACGATATCTTACCGTTCGTCTGTGAACTATCTAATGTTAAAGAAAAGAAGCAATTGGAAAAAGCAATCAACATCCAAGAAATCTTTCAACTTTAAAATCAGTGTTAGCTGACAAATATCAACGGATATATATCTTGATATACCTATATCGATCGATATACATATACGTTGGTACATATCAATTGATAATTATAATATTTGTTGTTAGTTTAAGTATTGAATCTCAGGTAGAAAATTAAACAACCTGATGTGATGCTGGCCACATTGGCCCGAAATAGCAATCTTACTTACTAGAAATTTCGGGTTTTCCCCTATACGTTACTGGAAATCCTTGCTCGCATACTACTTACTTACTTTTTAATTATTTTATAATAAATAAAGAAAATTAAATAACTCACACTTTATTTTAAAAATTAAAAAATATTTACAAAAGCCACTAGCAACTCAAAAGTCGCAGGCTTTCATATGCATGATATATATCAAATGTTGGATATATTGATATTTATTATAAATATCGGATTTTTAAAAAACCTGTTCAAAAATTTATATTCAAACAAGTGTCTAATATGTGATTGATTCATTTTGTAAATATTTAAATAAAAACTAGCTGACCCAGCAAACCTTATTTTGTCTTGTCAATTATCAAACTCAAAAAAAGTATGCTAACTAAAACTGTGACGCGAGAATTTTATTTATTAGAAAACGTTAAACTTTATTAAACACTAGCTTTTGCCCGCGACTTCGTCCGCGTGGTAGTTACTTTAAGAAGCATTTCTAACGAATATTTATTCATTATATCATGTTAAATACCTGAAATAAAGTTTCATCCCCTATTTTATGAAATTTATCAAAATCCTTTCTTAGAGGATGCCTACGTTATAGTAACTTTATACATGCACGTTCTCAGCCCGATCGGTTTAAAATTGACACAGTTTCATACAAACTTTCATCCCCTATTTATCCCCTTATTATCCCTTTGGGGGAAATTGATCAAAATCCTTTCTTAGCGGATGGCTACGTTATAACGTCTACCTGCATACCAAATTTCAGCCCGATCCGTCCAGTGGTTTGGGCTGTGCGTTGATAGATCACTATGTCAGTGAGTCACCTTTGAATTATATATATTTAGATTTTAGATAATGTATTTTTTTTATAATTAACTGTACTATTCATATTCCACATTGTAATAAAACATTAATAAATGATAAAACATTAATTTGTGCATTACATTAATGATGTGAGAAAAACATTGAATCAATTAGTAAGGAAAACACTTTTTGGGTCTGTGATCTCGCAGATAAAAGGCACCTGTTCACGACACAATATGTCGTATAAACCAGAATTGTCTCTCGCAATAGCCCCGCACTGTTCCTCCAACACATTAGGCTCACCACTGGCCCACCGTCCATAACCACTGTCCTCAAGTCGTTTTCCTAAAACATAAATTAACACAATAGTAAAAAAAACAACATTACACAACTTTGCTCTGAAAACATCATGAATTAATCATCAGCCCTTTTACGTTCCCACTGCAGGGTGAACAGGACCCAGGTAGGCTTCCTTGTGATTGTTCAAGGAGGATGGGCCATGACCCTCCTATTATCGACTGAACATGCAGCACCAACAGCTTCACAACGGCTTCACATGCATTCACATGTATAATATTTTTTGATCGACCATCCCGTTTTTTGCGAAAGTTGCTTAACAGCAAGGATCGCGGGACGCTGCGCTTATCCACTGCGCCAACGAGTTACTTTGGCCTCAATTCTGTTAATTTTTAAAGGATAAACGCATCTTAATAGAGTCCCAACTATTTTCTTTTTGCCATTGTACTACCTACCCGAAGTCCAACATTGTTATAGGTGCAATGTCTTATTGAAATATATCATTTATTACTTTGTGATCTACTAAAAAGAACTGTGTCATAAAGAGTTCTAGTTAAGACACTATTGACTTTCCGTAATTAGGCTAATACATATTAGAAGAATTGCTTTAATTGTCTTAAAAAAAATTGTGACAGCAAAATTTAAATAACACTCGGAGACAAGTTCATTGGTGTCTTATTTAACTACTGTACATAGATGCTTGGAAAATTGCTACAAAATATAAAGTTTTTTGTGTCGCTGCTAAACAAAAATTTTGCTGCCAAACCAAAATCACAAGTATTGAAAAAGCAAGAAAGAAAATTTTCTTTTACTGGACTGGATTATACAAATAAACGAACCAATACTTGACAAGATTACATTAATTTCTTAGAAACTTCAAAACCACCTTTCAGTCCCATCCTGGTTATTATTTCAGTGTCGGACCAATGAAATTCTAAATTCAAATGAAATCTACATCAAAAGGTTATATTTTTATTTCGATTTACGATTAACGACGAGTTCGAGGGTATTTTTTAACAGAATAGCATTGCTGATATTGGAGGCTAAGGAGTTATTATCATGTGGAAATACGTACCGTCAAGAGTGAACCAGAAGGCGCGGTCCACCCCAAAATTGGTGAAACCGATGTGTAAGAACGCTGCAGCGTGACGTACAGTGTTTGGATTACAGTTTATAGGCTTCTTTGAGTACCTAATAATAACATCATTATTTATATTCTTAATGAAAACGCTAAAAAATCCATCAGTCCCCGACACTCTGAGATGGGACTCGAACCCACAACCTTTCGCAATCTGGGCGACTGCTCTAACCGCTAAGCTACCAAGGACCTAACTGGACTGACGAATTATTCAAGCGCTTATTACTTTTCGCTACTAGTAAGCGTATAATCTACGCAAACACGGAGCGCTGAAACTATGTATTTGACTTGAAAAAATAACAGTAAGTCCATGAGCTGCTAATGTAAGTTCTTATAAATCCGAACAACAAAGCAGGGCCGGATTAGCCACGTAGCAAAAGTAGCTAATGCTACGGGCCCCGCCTGTTTGGAGTCTTTTACACCCCTCCAATTGGGAGCCTTTTACATGAGATCATAAATTCTACAAAGTTAAGATAATTAAGCAAAACAAAAAAGATACACACCAGTCAAATATGAGTTTCGCCTCGCGCTCGCTGTTCAGTATTAGTAGGTGACCACCTTCAGCAGAGCAGATCATATGAGCTCGTTGCCACATCACGCAGTCTCCATGGTACTTGTAGCAGCTGCCCGACTCGGGATCCAGCTCATATCCTGATGATGGTAATAAAACAGAAATACCTATGACATTTTAGATCTCAAAATTCTGATCACTATAGAGTTATATTTATAAGTAGCTGTTTTCTCTTAATTTCACCCACGTAATATGTAGCTTCCCGTAGGTGAAAGAATTGTCATTATCGAATAGGAACAAAACAAAGTTAGAAACTTTAACAATACAGAATAATACTTCCACTTATCAGCTACTTACCTTTAGCGTAAGTTCCACATTCGCTAGACACATTTTCATTGCCATCCTTTAGCTTGTAACATATATATGGAAGTATATCATTATCATGAACGTCGGCGAAGGTGCCGTCTTGTAGAATAGCCAGACTGCGCTCCTTGTGTTTCAAGTTATTAGGCTCCCCCTTTGCCCACTGGATAGGCATATGCAACAAAGGTACTCCTGTAATAAATAAACAAAGTATTTTGCACCGATTAATGATTATGAATCTTTAAATATACTTGAATAATTTTGGATAAATGATTATTGTAATCACCATCATAAGCTTCCGCCATAGATTTATATTCAACATCATCTGTTCAGTCTAATCTGTTAGCGCTTGTGAATGTCGGAAATTACGGCGGAAGACATTGTACTGAAAAACTGGCAAGAGTCGTAGGTAGTTAAAGGTACGAAGGTCATTAGAAAAATCATCAATACATGAACGCTGTACACTTAGAAAGTGAGCCAAATTCAATCAGTCACTGAATTGGTAATGGTAACACTAACACTCATGCTTAAGATTTAGAATGATAAATGTTTGATTCAATATAAAATAGCATAACCATACTTACCTTCCATGGAATAGTAGTCTCCGGCGGAGTCCATCATGTGCACGCCCGTGAACACTGGCCCAGACTGCACTAACATCAGACTTTTAATCACAGCGTACAGTCGATCGTTGATAGGAGACGCCAAATTGCCTCCTATTCAAAGAGCCATTTCTGATTTCATGAATACCAATAATCGAGTACCAGTTGAAATAATCACATTCATAACTGTCGATAATCTTAATAGATTAATCGACAATTCGAATTTAACAATTTGTTTGCAATAAAGAAAAATAACACTACATTGAGCATTATTTCCTGGCTTTTAACAAATTACTTAAAACTATTATGCTTCAATTGTAAACACAATTGTAAAATGTAAATAAATATACTACATTACAAGTTATTGAAAAATGCTCAATTGGTGTGTAGAAAAATTAAAAAAAATAGAATTGCGCAACGGCACCGAAGTGTGAAGCAGTAGTCCAAGATGTATACAGCTCAGTGTTGAATGTTCCATACAGGAACATACACCGATTTTCAGCTGTACCCTTCTCGTTTGGCCGCTAGCGTTGCCATAAAAATGAAATGTGGAGTGAGAATACAAAATGTTTCCAATGTATTATTCAATAATGAAACATAATAATAGATAAATATTATTCTTACACCAGTACATAGCACAGACACATGTATCCCTCTTTGGCTCTAACTAAGAAAAAAACACAAATTCATAAGACGCTACTGTGACCACTTGTATACTTGATTTTACTTAAAGAAAAACAATAAGTTAAATCCGGTTTACTCTTTACTTTTTGAGAGCTTCTTTTGCTGCAATCTCAGCAGCTTCCTTCTCTTTTCTTCTTTTCTCTATCCTCTTCCGTTTCGCTTCTGCTTCAGCTTTTTCCTTTATATCATATGCGCCGGATACTAAATCTTCTATGTAGACCAAACCTAAAAAATACTTAATATTTTTAACTCATCACAAAATGATCAATGGTATGTACTTGTAGTATTAAAGACAATGCAAAGGAGAATGGGCAAATGTGGTTTCGCTTTGTGACGATATCAAACCTCTTTTAAAAAATAAGTTTTTAATTTTACCTAAATACCTTAAAATATGTAGCCCTAACTTTGACGGAGTATAATATGTTTAAAATAAAGGAAGGTAACTGATTTTACTACTTCTCTAAAATATCCACCATTTTTATGTTTTTTTTAATGTTGCCAGTATTCAAAATCTACATTAAGTATGTAAATCGACATTGTATTTGAATGGGCAAGAGCCCTGAAACATGAAAGACGAAAAAACGTTTAAAAAGACAAAATAATAATAAATTGTTTTTGACCTAGTCATATGACACGATTTTTAGACAATAGTTTCTCGCAAGGTTTTTGTAACGAAGTTCCTTATCGCGCGGTACGCTGGCTAAGGGGGCTAGGCGAGCGTCACGAATAATCCTCACGACACTTCTGCTATAGTGCGTAGCGCTTGGAGAGGGGGCAGGCCGAGTATAGGATAGGATAGGATAGCATAGGATAGGATAGGATAGCACAGGCCAGCACAGCCTAGCACAGGCGAGCACAGGCAGACACAGGCGAGCACAGGCTAGCACATGCGAGCACAGGCTAGCACATGCGAGCACAGGCGAGCACAGGCTAGCACTGACAAGCACAGGCTAGCACATGCGAGCACAGGCAAGCACAGGCTAGCATTGGCAAGCATAGGCTAGCATAGGCAAGCTTAGGCTAGCATAGGATAGCATAGCATTCAGTTCGGTTCTGTTGTGGGTATACGCATAATAAATAATGTGGGTGTCTATCAGAACGTTAAGATATTGCTGATGAAGTTAGGTAAGTATCGATGTTATACAGACATTATGCTCTACTTTCATACAATAATACTAATGCTACATATACAAGTCTCGTTTAAATAATTTTGAATGCGTGTGAACTTCGTTCCAATCGACATGTGGAATCCACATGTGGAGTTTTTTATATTTAGTTTACATTTTGAATAAAGCTTTTTGTTATATGCTAGCAGATGAAATGGAGGAACTGCTTTAAAATACCTGCGAAGCGAAAATGAGAGACGACAGAATTTCTGGATGAAACAACAGGATGAAACCTTATGAGCGGAATCGATTCATTGAGTTTCAGTGCTGCCAAAACAAAACATATTAATATAAAAACTGTTTTAAATCCCCCAACATGTTCATTAGTAATTAATAACCTATGCTCTATGTCAGTTAATAGTATATTGTTGAGTAAAAATATTTACATTGTTCATTATTAAGAACATAAATAAATAATTAGTTTTAATGATTTAATCGAATCAAGTCGATTAAAAATAGTCGATTTATAACATTTTTAGAATAGTAATAATGACATGCATGACCCGCTAAATGAAAGGCATACATTGACACAATTGACAGCTGTCACTACAGTATTTCCTTTCGTTCTGTTAAGTTCGTTTGTTGAATGCTTTAGTGATTTTTTCTTTCTTTAAGTTTTACGTCGAGTAATGTCATGTCAGTGCTTTGGTATTTAGGTTGGGGTAGATATAATGATTTAACTGCCCCAGCTCAATTCCTAGACGACATTTTTGATGAATACACATACGAAAATGAATAACTCCCTTATGTCAAACATGTCCAAAACATTTCTCGTTTGCTTGGAAAACAGCAGAATCACTATATATATAAATATGATACCCAGTAATTGCACTGAAAGACTAGAAGACAAAGTCAAAACATACTAACCGGTTTCAATAACATTACCTATTACTTGATGAACTTCAGCAGCTTATTTCGCATGAATCCGTCGAATTAGAGAAATTATTTTTTTGTCATTGAATCTAAGGCCAAAACCCTACAAAATGATGGTTTGTAGGGTTTTGATGGTTTTAAGGTTTCATCATGGCACAAAAAAAAAATTTGAAACGAAACTCAATACATCATTGCCCCTTCTCCTTTACGCTTGTTATTATTCTAGAAGAAGAAGGAGAAGAACGATACAGGAAAGAAGACAAACCAAATAAAGAAGTTAATGATAAACAATAAATCTATTTACAAGCGGTTACTATATTGATAGATGACTATGTGTGCCAAATAAATAAATTTGATTTGATTTATTGTCAATCGCTCATCAAAATAATTATAAAGTATTAGAATAATGATCATGACTTATAAATAAATATAAATATAGTTAAAGTACTTAAATTAAAAACGCATAAAAACATTATAACTATGATTTAATTTCATAGTTTCACGGTTAGAGCAAAGGGCTTCGGAAATGTAACTCCTGATTATATTAAAACTTTATATTTTTACTATGAACGAGCATTACCTTTTTGAAGCTTGGGCTTCTCTTTTTCTAACCTCTCGCTCTCTAACCTCTCTCTCTCCCTCTCCTGCCAAGACTTGGGAGGCGGGAACTGCAACTCTCCGTTATCCCCCAGAGGCCCGTAAAGCTTGGGTGGAGGACGTCTCTTCGGTGGCATGTTGATCAAACGCATTGATTTTGTGGCAGGGGTATAGCAATTACCTAACAATTACAATCTTATCAAACAGTTACAATACTTATAAATCGGTGAAGTGTGGGTGAACACGCGGTCGGTTGTATGGATATCCACTTAAATATTTATTTTATTCTGTTCTGTTTTTTTTTAGTATTTGTTGTTATAGCGGCAAAGGAAATATATTATCTGTAACAATTTCATTATCTAACTATCACGTTTTATGAGATATAACGATGGTGCTTTATGAAGGAAAATTATTTACCTATGGAGTCTACAGGTTTAGCATGATCAAAGCTGTCGCGGTAAGGGACACCGCGCGTCCAAGACTTCGCCTGCATCAGCGGTGGAAACTCACTGCAGCCTCCGTCACCTTCACCTGTGATGAGATTGTATCTTTAAACATTAAGGCTCAACGAGAATTCGGAAAATTTCCAATCGTTCTTATAATTTTGTAAAAACCATTTTCGTGAAGATTATTTGTACATCGGAGCCTGCGCCGGCTCCTACCTCCGTTGCGTCATAAATTATCGAAAAATGGATTTCTTTATAGTCATAGCGTTTCGAAAGTAGACAAATTTTCGTTTAACCAGAAAGAGAGTAAGCCTAGACGCGTAATTAATATAAAAACGGCAAATAAATCCTAAATGTTTAATCTTTTGATGTGGGTTTAGCAGAGCAGACACCCGTGAAGGAATAAGATGGACTTTATTATTTATAAATATAATATTACTACCTTCAGGGTAGTAGTTCTTGGCAGCCTGCAGCAGCACGCTATATTTTTCTAGTTAATCATCATATCCCGCACAAATGATGCTGGTGAGAGTAGGCTGCGAGCGAGCACCTCCTGTGAACCGAGGAGGGCATCGCTTCGCATCGCTCGCTTCGCTTGTTTCCGCGCCCCTCTACTGCTTGCCATCTATGCCACCAAATCAGATTAAATGTAAAAACAGTCAACTTAGTTTTTGTATGCACTTAAAAAGGTATGTTTCTTACAATATTATTATAACAAACGTAAGTTTTTCTTTAATTTTTAAACTTTAATAAATATATAGATTTTTAACAGGGCATCGCTTCGCATCGCTCGCTTCGCTTGTAACGCTCGCACCGCTCGCACCGCCTCGGGTACGTTTCCGCGCCCCTCTACTGCTTGCCATCTATGCCACCAATAGTTCTTTGGCGAATCTTTCGGTAAAAACAATTTTATTGGTCTGCGTAAACCTTCAACTTATTTTTTGTATGCACTTAAAAAGGTATATATTCATAAAAATTATAGTATTTATTCAGCAGTTATTACATGTTTCTTACAATATAAGTATAGTAAACATAAGTTTTTTTTTAATTTTTAAACTTTAATAGATATATAGATTTTTAACAGGAAAAAGAATCGAATACCGTAAAATGGTTAAATACAAAAATACATCGGTGTGCAAATCTATGGAACAAATATATATCTGAAGAAACCGAGAGTGATTTCCAGTGAAACTCTTGAGATTTTATCAGAGTTTGGAATGAAAGCAAAAGATTACTCAAACATGAGTACCTCTATATATGATTAAATAGTTTTTTTTTCTAAATTTTGTGCATTTAAAAGACTAAAGCTAATTAATTATTTTAACTAGTTTCTTCTTAAAGATTACAAGGTTAAACAGACACAGGTTAAAATAATAGTAAAAATTCAGAAATCATAGTACAAACTCTGTAATCAGGACTAAACTTTCAAAGCAATCAAGTAACATTAATATATATTTTTACGTGCAACATACATACTTATTATTTCTTCAAAAACTTGTATTTATATCTATTTCATAAACTTTAACATTAATTTATTATTTAGACACTTATTTTTTCATACATAATTTTATAAAAATACTATTATTCTTTATGTGCACTTGTTGGAACGCTATTGACAACTGAAATAAACGTTGCCATGGCAACGAGAAGCGGCTTCTATGGTTACAAAAAATCCTTTGATAAATTAGTTGGTGAGCAAAGAGTACGTATGTATATATATATCCATACTGTAATTTACTTTGTACAAAACATAATTAAAAAATCAATGGTACAAAATGTTAACCGAAAAGAAAAAGTATTCCTATATGTACATAGATATTTAAGTGTATTATTGATTCTAGATAAACATTTCATTATATAAAAAGAAAATAATATGTAAAATTATGATTTATGGTATGTTCAAATATAGCGGTAACTGTAGGTGAATTTAAATAAATAAAGGCAAATACTCTCAAAATATAAAATCATTTGTCCTGTAAATATCTTTGATTATAATTATTATAATCAAAACGGAAACTATTGAAACCCATCTATGGTCAGTACAATTATTTTTGGAGTGTTTTTGAACTTCAGTATGCTAAACTGTAAGTTGAAAATTATCTTCGCTTTGTTTACATGAAATACAAAAACAGAAGATTATAGGTCGGTGATGTCGCAGAGTTTATCACATGGAGCAATTTTTTTTTTCAGATTCCTGAGTATAATGTTTTTGAATTGATTTTCCTGTTCATTTTCCTGTTGTTATCTCAAAATTACGAATATATTTTGGGTCGGGGTTAAAATTAAAAGCCTTAGTTGTAATAATTTTTGATAGGCCCGTTTCTGTTCAATGGTTTCCAAGACATATGAAATTTCGTGGCCTAGAAAATCAATAATAACGCACAGGAAAATCAAGAAATGAAACAAATTTCATTGAAAATCTCTGTTTTTAAATTTAAATGCAACTATATCAAAATTTTCTCAACAAATGTTTCCAAGGGGATTTCTTTTTTATGGACTGCTTTGTAGTAGGGGTTGTGTTTGGCCGAATGGAGTGACCTTCGAGGTGTGGACAAGTTTAACGAATCAGATGTGGTTTGAGAAATAGAAGAAGCTGATTATTGGTGGGTGAAGGTGGTGGAGACGAATAAACAATGCCTTGTTGATCTGTGTTGTTCGTAATTTCCCAAGAGCTTGTTTCTGCTTGCGATAACAATATTTTACCTTTAGCTTAGCCTTACCCTGAGTATCATTTTTTATTAGTTCGTATGGACGACGTTCTGCTTCTCGCTTTTTCAAAATCTCCTCTTTACTTTGCTTGCTTCAGGACATTGTGATATAAAAAATATGAATTCAAGTAATAAATATATGTATTTTAGGTTGATTATTTGTTGTTGCCTTCCATGACAGAGCCGAGGTGGTTTTAATTTGACTTAGTACTTATCTTTTGAAATGAAAGTCAATTTTCAGTCATTTGAAAAATAAAGAAAATATTAAATTAAGTCTTCTTCTTTATAATTAATAGTTTTACAACAAGATTATAGTTCAAACTTTATTTGAAAAAATACCTGACAAATGAACGTAGTTAAATATACGAGATATCCTTCCTGACATCCAAAATTAAGCCTCTCAGGAATCACCCTCGAACATCTGAACCCTCATTTAATTGTGAATATTGGGGAACTGTCAGATACTGAAACAATACGGGTGAATGTTTCCACAACACTATAACAGTTTTATCTCATACAGACCATCAAGACTGAAAAAAAATATAGGTAGATGAAAGAGTTTACGATTGGCGATGATGAAATTAATCTACTGCTACTGTTAAATTTCAACGTAACTTTACTAGAAACAAAGATAAACATATGTATGTATGTATAGATGGTACTTAAAGAAAAATATCATTTTTGCCTTTTTTGTCTGTTTGTTTATTTCGGATAATCTCTGAATCGGCTGGACTGATATTGACAAGACTTTGCTGGCAGATGGCATATGTAATAAGGAGTAACTAAGGCTACTTTCCACGCGAATAAAGTCGCGGGCACATCTAGTTATAAAGAAAATGCAAAGAGAACTCTTATATTAGAGTGTGATTTTAGTCTAATAATCCGTCACGTACGCGTGTAATGGATACAGTGCAATCAAAATCAGCCCAATTTTAAGTGGTAATCGTTTTAAAGAGATAACCGCTTTCGTATCTATAAATAGGATGAACGAAAAAGACACGCTTTATTGTACAGATATTTCCTTTGGTGATACAATGGCGAATCGTAGTTACATTGAAGTAATTGTTTTGTGTGTGTTAACTATTCTAGTGAAAAATGGATTAGCAGGTACCAGTGAACATTTAATTTATTACCTATCTCTGAAAATAACAATTTTGAAAAAAAAGAAAAATTTATCCGAACTATTTCATAAATATTATCATCTTTGAAGAAAACTACATTTTATATTTACACGTTATTAAAACAGTATTTGTTTTATTATATTATATAAATATAATTGGCTCGGTCCTACGTGGCCTTATGTAGATGTAAAAATATATAAATTACCTAATATTAGCCGACAAAAATTGTCTTATACAAATTTCAATGAAACTCACAATTTCCCAAACTTCAAATTAGGTAAATATTAGAAAAACTTCACTAATATTTACCTAATCCGCTCGCCAACAGATGGAATTTTATTTCTATGTATTACATTATTTGGTGGAAATGTGAATAGGGGAGGGTGAATTCCGTCTCGACTACACGTACAGTCCTGAAGCCAATGGATGGATCAAATTCCACGGAGTGCCGGCTACCTGGTTCGAGGCAAGACTCAAGTGCTACTATGAAGGTAATTATATTTTTCGAAAGTGCCCGTGAGACATTTGACATAGAGTCTAATCATATATATAATAAATAAGACATCATCCTAAGTAACAGTTATTGTGTCACTTACACCCAGTTGCACAAACGTACATTAAGGTTTAATGCTCAAAGGAATCTCTCTAAGGAATGTTCTAAATTGGAAAATTTCTATAGGCTATGACGCTATAAGCTAATAACAATTTTATAGGACATTTGTGTAACTAGGTGTTAAAGTTACATATTTTCTAAACTTTTCCAAAGTAAAAGATTTTTCAAACATCTAGCAATTTTTTCATATACCAATTAGTTTTTTTTTTTCTATTTATTAGGGTAAACAAACAGTGACAATTTGTTATA